TGTGTGTGTGTGTGTGTGTGTGTGTGTGTGTGTGTGTGTGTGTGTACTGTCGCTCCAAAGTGTCTTTGTTCAAAGAATGCATGGCTACATCACTCAGGAGGCAGTGAAGAGGAGAAATCAGTAAGAATTAAAAGCAAATTCCACTGATTTTATAAATGTTAAGCTGGAAAAGAAATCACTCTGAGCTGATGAAACTAACACATGGAAGACACTCATCTTTGCTGCTGGTTTTAACTGGAAACAATATGGAAACATATCAATAAAAATCACTTTATCTTTGTATTAGCCTCAATTTTAATAATTTATCTTATGGAAACAATACAGAAAAAGGAAGAAACATGAATAGAACCGTGTTCATTGTATTCTGTGAAGAACTCTAAACTGTTCAGCAGTAGAGAGAGCTGTCTATATTGTAAAGGGCAATAAAATCAGCAACTCTAACATCAGATAGCCTACTGAGAAATACAGACCAGTCAGTAACCATCAGAGACAACGAGAGCCTATGCAGAAAAACAGACCAATGCTTTTCTAGAATGTTACATGAAGGTATCAAGACATATAACTATATAAAGCATAATTATAAGGACATAAAAATCACATACGCCCATGGACAAGGGTATGCTAGGAATTCAGACTGCAACATATAAGCTTGTGTGATTTCTTAAAAAGGAAAGGTGACTATTTTATCCTTTTACTATAGAACTGCCCTTGTTTTACTATAAAGCAGTTTGAGTGATAAAAGCATCTTTTCTCTTTTTAGTTATGTGTTTATGTAGGCAAATATACATGTGCGCATGTGTGTGGAGGTCAGAGGTCAACATTGGGTGTTGTTCCTTGGGTAACAAGGAGGAAAGAATGTATATGCATCTTCAGTAGCACCATCTACTTTGTTTTTTGAGATAGAGTTTCTTACTGGCCTGAAGTTTGCCAATTATGCTAGACTGGCTGGTCAGAGAGCCAGGAATCCACCTGTCCCTGTCTCCCTTGGGCTGGAATTGCAAGTGTGCATCGTCACACTGGGGTTTTTAATGTAGGTTCTGAAGATCAAACTTGGCTCCTCGTGCTTACATGACCAGTAATTTACTGCATAAGCTATCTTCCCAGTCTGATAAACTATTTGAACGAGCAAAATTTAAGGTATTATTTTCATCCTCAAACAACTCTCTTTTGTTGCAAAACAATTTACATTTTTCTTTCACATGAATAATATGCATGACTTCCTTTCCTACAGGCGTCTAATGATTCTAGGATCTCACTGACCATAAGTGATGGTCAGTAATGTTTGCTTTTCCTCCATACCCATCTCCACTGTCTTTTCTCAAGTTACTGATGCAATATATATCCTTTCCTCTTTGTAAACCCTCCAGGACACAGTCACAGGGCTTGGAAGGCAGCTTCTTGAGGGCCTACCAGACAGCCTAGGGCATGCATCACTGCAGAGTCCACAGTGGGCAGGAAGCAATGCCTCTGCTGGCATAAAACAAATGCTCACAGATGTTTCAGCTCACAGATGTTACAGCTAGTATAGGGCAGCCTTGGTCCTTCACCAACCCAGTCAGGCTCAGCTTCAGCTGCTCTTGCCAGAAGTAGCTCAGCTCTATGGACTTGAGCTTCCCTGGTTGGTTTCTTTTCTGCGTCCAGGCCAAGCCTGTCTTGCTTAGGCCTAGGGACTCTATACCTAGTACTGCTATTCCCTGTACCCACGTTCTTCTATCCTGATTAGCCCCTTTCTTCTTCCTGCCTCATTTGGCCTTGCTGACTGGTCCCCAATGAGGGAGGGGGCATCTCAGTCCCAGGTCCTTCTGGCACACCTCCATTCTACCATGGCCCTGATATGTTCTGATCCTTAGGGTCCTGCTTGCTCAGGAAGAAAGAGTAGATACATGGCAGGATTAGTCAGCCTGAGTACCCTGAGAAAGAGGGTAGGTCTGATCACTGCCAGGCCCTAAGCTATTGTTACTCATGAAGCTGTCAAGCCCCACAATCTCTGAGCAAAGTAGAAGGGGGCCGCTTCCTGCTTCTGTAGCTCTTCTCTGGATGCGCTTCACGATGTGCTCCGGATGTGCTTCATGGGCTGCTATTTTCTGGGCCTGAGCTTTTGCATGATTGGGTTATCCGGCCATTTATCAAATTTGCTTTCCTATCTAAGATTTGCAGGGAGGGGGTCCAGTAATGTTTGCTTTTCCTCCATACCCATCTCCACTGTCTTTTCTCAAGTTACTGATGCAATATACATCCTTTCCTCTTTGTAAACCCTCCAGGACATAGTCACAGGGCTTGGAAGGCAGCTTCCTGAGGGCCTACCAGACAGCCTAGGGCATGCATCACTGCAGAGTCCACAGTGGGCAGGAAGCAATGCCTCTGCTGGCATAAAACAAATGCTCACAGATGTTTCTTTCCCAGGTTTCCCTTCCCACCCCCAGCAACACCCCATCTTTAGACATCGTTCTTACTGGCAGTTTGTTGTGGCTGAAGACCAAGAGAATAGAAAGCAAACAAACACTGAGCAGGCATTGTGCTATCTGCCTGCACATGTTGAATAAACATTGCCAGAGCTATTTTCTCACAGAGTTAGGGGTGGTGACTACAGAGAATATCATGTTCATGCTGCTGTCCAACAGGGTATGAGGGACAAGCAGGAGCAGCGGGGACAATCTAACAGCTCTGTCTTGCAGGCTGAGCTGCCTCGTATGCACTCTCCATTTGGGGACTCAGGGTGGAGAGAAAGTATGCCTCTCATCTAGCTGGGGGGACACTGGTCCAGCTTTTGTCTCAGCACATGCTCACCCACCTTCAGGCAGAGGAGAACAGGGACCTGAACTGTCCAATCACTGCCTGAACAAATAAGGGCTTTGTGAATTGGTGTTTCATTTGCTATGCAAAAGTAAAGGTGAATGTTCGAATTCTGACCCATCTCAAATTTATCTGATATACTCACAGCATACTGAGTTATGCTTCTTTTGATGTGGCTAAGAGTTTAAGAAATGTATACAATCATGAAAAAAGAGTCTGAGAGAAAAATGATGATGTTTTCAGGGAGCAATTCA